GTCTAGCAAACACTCGGACATTCGCGGGGTTCCCTGATAATTCTAGAAACTTCAGTGTGCATGCTCCCAGAGTCACGCGACTTCCGCTGTCGTAACAGTGGTTTTTTCTCTAATGTTCTATTAGTTTTGAGCAATTTCCTGTGCGACCCCTGTTACGAATCACTATCGTGGTTCTTGATAATGAAAAACAGTACCGGTTTTGAATGCTGAAAGTTAGTGAAGCATTTAAATTTTAAAACCATGTCCTAGGCATATTTTAATAATAAAGTTCGTGATGATTAAAAAATTACGCTAAAGTTAGATTGCTAATTTATTTATCCATTAAAAAATGTACTCATGAGAAATATGAAAAAAGTATATATATATTCTACTTTCTATCGTGACTTTTCTTACGATTACTAAAAGAAGTATTATTTATACTTTAGTCAGGCCTAACAGCAGTTCGAATACAGAAAAAAAGTTAACCTTAATAGAAAATTCCAATGTTACGCAGGATTTAGGCAACTGATAACAAAAAGTTTATTAAACATGGCAATAGCGAAATGATGCAAAATAGATGTAGAATACTGATAAATGGATTCAATGCTCAAACAAGAAGCTGAGCATATTAATTATCGTAAATTTTAAATAACAACAAAAGCAATGTAACGTAAGGTTTCTGTTACGTCCAACTAAAGTAGCGTCTGTTCATAGCTCGGCTTTAAAATTGCTAGGCTTACCCTTAAGCCTAGCTTTACTAAGTTATATATAACGTTAGTGTTCTTTATGTACAATTATTTAAATATTGACATTTTAGCATTGCAATTGTAGTTGGTTATTACCTATGATTCTCGTTCAATATCTATTTATCGTATTTTTGTATCTCTACTACCGTTTTATTTGACTGACCACTTGCGAGGACTTTCTCTTATTCGATGACGAGGAACCTACTTTGAGACTAATGATGGTTGGAGACGGCTTGAATGGGTAATGAGAAAAACTTTAATATAAGTTTAACGTAACAGCAAATGTACA